TCACCTACATCCATCTATCTTTGATTCACTCCTTGCTCGTAAGAAATAAGTGATCTAAGTAGATTATTGATAGAATATACATTCAAATCTTTAGACTTAGTTATGATAGTTATCTTTACATCATAAGTAGCAGGTAAAATATGTAAAATTTTATTAACTTTTTTTTTTGAATTTGTAAGTTCTTTACCTAAAATATGCAATGAGGCAACAATATGAGTAAACCTTGTATACATATCAGAAATTAACTCATTTGGTTTCATGTGAAATAGATCATAATTATGTAATAAAATGTTCAACCAAGATTATTTTACCTCATTATTTCTTCATAAGTTATACAAAGTCTAATAAAGATTTCTTTTTTAGCTTTGTAAGTATAAACAAGCATATAATCATCAAATTTAAAGCATACAAAAAAACTAATTAAATATTTTACATTTAAATGTACTAATTCTCTTTCTTCTAAAGTTCATTCAGTAAATGGTGTTTCAATTCTAATGCCATTAATAATTCTATTTGGTCTAGTATAACCTTCCTGTACTAATATCCACATGCAATAGTCACGTGATTATAGAAAAATAAACATGTGAGTTTTCCAAAAATCAAAAGGAATTTTATCAAATAAAAGAGGTCTGGTGATTTGATATCCTTCAACAGTATTTTGGTTACCAAAATTAGCCTTGAACATTTTTTAAAAAGTAGTCTAAACCTTAATTTTTGAAATTGGCTTTGGTACCACTTGAAAGTTTAAGTAGGTTGATACACCTTATAGAACTATCCCAAGGCTAACCAAGAGGGGGGATGAATTGGTTATTAAAATTTTTCCTGAATTTTGTAAAACCTTTTTAGATCTTTTAGAGAATTAAATCACTAATCTTGAAATATGTAGTTGTTTATAGAAGTAATTACCATAGAAGATTTTTTAACAACAAAAATTTTAAATGAAAAAAATAAAAATACAAGAAAAAAAAAAATAGAAGAAAACCAAATTTTATAATTGGTTGGTCTAACTTAACCAACATCCACCACCTGGAGACTCCTCCAAAAATTGTACTAAATAATATTGACTCTCCTTTTTCCCCCACAACAAGACAGAGAAGCCCTTACAAAGTCTCCTCCACCAACCTGGTGCGGTAGAGAACCGCCGCCTTTTATAGTTTTTTAGTGATGACAGTGTACCATCACATTCTTTTTCACCCTCCTGGTGAAGGCATAGTACATAGATCTAATGTTGAAAATCTTCTCTTAAGAGCCTCTAAAGAAGTTGGATAGAAACTTGAAGAAGACAAAAAAGATCACCACTTTAGGCAACCTTGTGAACCCTCACAACTCCCCACTAGATCTCTCACTCTTCACTCACAAAATTTTACCCAAAAATACTCTCAATGGTCACTCTCAAGAGAAATTCTTCGCAAAGGATTATTGAGAGAGTTTTTAGGATTCTTTAAACAAAAAACACATGAAAAGTTGTCCAAAAATTGAAAATTTTAAAGGAACCATGCTAAATTCATATTATATTATCATGGATCATCTGGTATGAATAGTTAAAAAAATTAGGGATTCATTTGGTATGAACTTGGATGAGCAATTTCGTACACTATCCATCATCTCTATGAATTCAAACCATACTGTACAAAAAATTTCAAAAATATTTGTTCGTTCAGATTGATCTGGAACAAACTTAATTTTGTACTCGATCAGTCATCTATACGAATACAGATAGTACTATATGAATAGTTTAAAAAATAAATGTATTCAATTGGTATAATCTTAAATGAACCTAATTTTTTTACTCTATTAGTCATCTGTATGACTTAACATCATACAATACAAATAGTTAACAAAATTATGAAATAATTTGATTAACTGCATTCTGAAGGAAACTATGTCAAATCATATAGTACAATTACATACCGTATAATATAATTAGTAAAAAAATCAATTTAAATTTTATCTCTCTCACCATATGTATGTGTGCACGGTTACCCAATTATAATCACACTTTCTTAGACTCAAGAAATTAAAATAGAGATATAGAGGCTATATTATATGAAATCCTACTCTTCCCTGTCTTAAAGTCTTTAGCAATCTGGAGTAGTATATAATTTTCTTGAAATATTAATAGACACAAAAACAAAGATAAATATCTAATATATGCTAGTAAAAATAATAAAATTATCAAAATAATAATATTTTGTTATCATAAAAAATCACAATTCTTGGGAATAAATTCCAGGGTTTTGTTAGATCGCTAGAGAGAGAAGCTCCATGTTTTTCTAGAGAGAAAAATTCTTGATTTTTGAATTCTTGTGTTCGCGGGCTTTGCACTGGCGGAAGATCGTGCTGCCTGAAGTTTGTGCTGCCGGCTGATCGGCGGTACATTTTTGTTTAGATCATGACAAACTTTTGTTCGGCATGTACCAACCGTGGTATTGGTAAGGTTGGAGGTGAAATTGTTATCAGGGAAGGTGTGAGGCCGCTGGTTTGTTAAGAGGCGATTGACGGTAGAGGAAAGCAAGTTGCAGTTGATCGGGAATCTGAGGATATCAATGTTTTTGTGAATGACAAAATTGTTCTTGACAATATTCCAGATGCATCTACGTCGGCGGGCGTGATTATGAAAGTTAATAAGTTTGTGTTTAATCATGAAGAACAACTTAGACGGGATTTGATTTCTGAGATTGATAATTCTGCAAAGGAAGTGGTTGATGATTTTTCTCTAAAGAAGTTGAGTTGGACAAGAATCTGGATTCCTCTGTTTCGCGGGTTTCTTATTTGAATGTTATAAAGGAAAGTTTTAAAGAAGCCTGGAAAAGGATGCAACATATTAAGATCTCTAATGACAAGGTGATAACGGAGATGTCTGAAGATGGTATGGCAATAAAACTCAATGCTGAGAAGGAAATGTTAAATTCAGAGGTACTGAAACACTCTCTGGTTGTTAAGGTATTAGGTGATAAAGTTTCATTTCCTCTGTGCAGCTTGGAGTTGAGGAAGCAGTGGAGTAAGTTCGGAAGTTTTCATATGACTTCCACTGGGTTAAATTGGATCTTATGCTCGTTTAAATCAGCAGACGCAATGGAAGAAGTTCTGAAAGGTGGCCCTTGGTTTATGGGAGGCCATATTGTCGGGATGGATAAATGGTCTCCATTTTTCAATCCTAATTCCTTTAGAGGAATTAATGCACCGGTTTGGGTTCGGTTTCCTTGCTAATCAATGTATTGTTGGGACTAGGAAAACATCATTAGGATTGCATCGAGAATTGGAGCTCCTATGCTATTGGATGGTAATTCATTTAAATGGGGAAAGCGAGAATTTTCCCGGGTATGTATCAGTCTGAATTTGGAAAATAGTCTCCCAAATGGTGTGTGGGTTGATAGGAATGCTAGTCATTTCTTCCAAAGAATTGAATACGAGAAGATTGATTTAATTTTCTACTAGTGTGGGAAGGTGGGGCATGAGAGCAAGCTGTGCCCTGAAAGTGTGAAGAAAGTCCCGGTGGAGCAACCAATTAAGAAAGCTGATCCTAAGAAGAATGTGGATGGGATGGTTGACAGGGAAGGTGCTGAGGAAGCTAATATAACTATGGGCCGTGGATACACATTAAGTTTAAAAATAAGAGGTTTTGGAATGGTAAGGCAAGGGCTGTTGATAAGCTCATGTATCTCAGTTTGATGTAGGACAAATTCAAAAGCTGGAAAAAGTGATGGAGCCATAATTTCAGTGGGATCAGACTGATATGGCTACTGTAAATAATGTTAATAAAGAAGTTTTTGATATTGAGTGTACTGGGGGTGGTTTCTGTTTCAAACAAATTTGATGCTCTATTTAATGAAATTGAAGTAGGGAAAGTGACAGATCATTCTTATATGCATCAACAATAGAAGTTGGCTGATGGTGTTGAGATGCCAGAGGATGTGGAAACAGTTGTTCCTCAGAATAACAGTCTGATGAAGGTTAAACTAGCTAAGGAACTGAAATCATTGGGCCCCTTAGAGCTAGAGCATAGGAAAAAGAGGAAGGAGACTAAAGGAAGTTTTCTAGGTGAGGATGGCTCCCTGCTGGTAAATAGATGAATTCTTTACTTTTCTAGAATTGCTGGGGAACCAAAAAAACAGGCTTCCTTGTATCTCAAGGAGATAGTTAGAGATCATGGTATTTGTTTTGTTAGATTGATGGAGACCAAGTTATCTAGTATTGATAGAATTGAAGTTGATTTTCTTATTGGGAAGGATTGGGATTACTTTCATTTCCCAGCTATGGGCACTGCGGGTGGCATTTTGGTGCTGTGGAATACGAAGATTGTTTCTTTTTATGCTGAAAGAAGTGCTTCTCAACTAGTGATTGGATCTCTTGAAACACCTTCTTTGGGTGTGTGGAAGGTGGCAATGATATACGACAGTATATTGAATAATGAGAGAAGGAGCCTTTAGAGCATACTTGAGACTAATTTGAAGGATTCGGGTCCTGCTATTGTGGGGGGGGGGGACTTCAACTGTATCTTAAATAAAGAAGAGAAGAAGGGTGGAAAGCGGTTCTTATTCTCTAGAGGGCCTAGAGAGATGAAAGAATTTTTTACTAATGCAGATTTTCAAGTTGCAGGTTTTGTTGGACCGAGTTTTACTTGGTGTAACAATAAGGAAGGCTCTTCTAGGATTTGGGAAGGGCTTGATAAGTGTTTGCTCAATTCCTTAGCTTTGCATTTGGTGCCATTTGGTAAAGTTAAACATCTTGCTCAGGTGGCATCGGATCACAGCCCAATTGTGTTCAATTTGGATGTAAGAAAGATCAACAAGAACAAGAGTATTAGATTTAAAGACACGTGGAGGTCTTACCCAGCTGCTTGGAGCATTGTTCAGAATTCTTAGAAGAAGGCTAATTTCGGGGAAGAAGAGGAGGTGCTTCATAGAAAGTTGAAGAGGACATTGAGAGAATTATTTTTCTAAAATAAGAATAAATGCCGTGATTTATATAAACTGAAGGAGGAACTAAAAAGAGAAATCATGGAATTACAAATTAAGGAGGTTGCGGGTTCTGGGCCTGCTAGTGATGATTTGCTCATGCTTAGAAGGAAGATTCATGAATTAAATATAACTCTTAGAAGACTTTCTACTTGGTGGAACCAAAGAGCTAAGGCTAGATGGTATGAGTAAGGTGACTCCAACTTAAAGTTGTTTCATAATTTTGCTTCAGCACGTAGGAATGCTAATTGGATTCGGCAAATTAAGGATGTTAATAACAATCTTGTGGACGAGGATGATCAAATTGAGCAAGTCTTCTTATAGTTCTTTGAGAAGAAGTGGGAGTATGGAGATTGTGAATTATCTGGTTGGTCGTTGCCTTCAGAAAAATAAAAGTTGAATGAATGTGGTGCTGCATTGCTAGGTGCAGATTTTACTATCGAAGAATGCAGGAGATCAGTTTTTTAGCAAGGGAATAATAAGTCTCCCGGAATTGATGGGGTGAATGCCTCCTTTTCTAAATGTTACTGGAATATAGTAGGTGAGACTACATGGAGTGCAATTAAGAAATTTCTTAATGGTAGAGAGATGCATAAAGATAGGAACACTACACTTATTATCTTAATTCGTAAGATTAAAAATCCATTGGTGCCATCTAGCTTCAGACCCATCAGCTTGAGTCAAAGTACGTATAAAATTTTGGCCACAATATTGGTAAATAGGTTGAAAAATGGCTTACCCAGTATGATATCCAAGGAACAAGTAGCCTTCATTCCGGGAAGGTTAATTCCAGAGCATTGCTTATTGGCGCAGGAAATTTTTAATAAATTCAAAGTTTCTAAAAATAAAAAGGAATGATGGTGATGAAACTGGATATGGAGCAGGCGTTTAACAGTATGGGGTGGCTAACTTTGAATCAAATTCTCCAATGGCATGGTTTTCCTGTTTTCTTTTCGAAGCATCTAATGGATTGTGTGGTAAATGCTAGATTTGCTATTGTTATGAATGAAAAGTGTACAAGATGGATTGATGCTCATTGTGGATTTAAGCAAGGTTACCCTTTCTCCCCGTATTTATTAATAATGTGCTCCCAATTGTTGTCTAGTGTTATTGAACAAAGAGGTCGGACATTGGGCATTCAAGTGACTTTAAGAGGTCAAAGTATCTCACACCTTTTGTATGCAAATGACGTACTGTTACTCTCCAGGGTTTTAGATCCCATAGCTCAGTTGATTAGTTGCATTGTGAAGGATTTCTGTAGCTGGACAGGGCAAAGAGTTAATATTAACAAATCACAAATTATGTTTGGGAAGTTTATTAATAGGTGTTAATAATCCTTGGCTTCAAGGTGGTTAAGGAATTACACTATTTAGGAATTAAGATCTCTCTACAATGGTCAGGAGTTACTGATTTTCAAGATTTATTAAGCCATGTTACTGATAGGCTTAATGTGTGGGGGAAGAAATCCTTTTCGTTGGGAGGAAAGATTACACTTACAAAAACCTCTTTGATGTCTTTTCTGAGCTTTGTTATAACTCAATCTCTTGTTCCTAAGAGTGTGATTCAGGAGGTAGAGAAATTGTATAGGAAGTTTCTTTGGCATAAGCAAGATGGGAAGTATGGATTACATTACGTTTCATGGGAAGAAATTTGTAATCCACAAAATGTTGGTGTTCTGGGTGTGTAGTCATTCACAAACAAATCAGGAGCTCTACGGGCTAGATTAACCTGGAACTTTATCCACAAACCTGAGACTATTCTACACCGAACGGCTTTGGCCAAATTTGGTAATAATGTGTTGAACGACAACTGCATAAACTGCTCCTCTAATGTCTGGAAAATTTTAAAGGATGGAGGGAAATTTTTAAAGCCTATTTTTAGATGGAAGGAGGGAAGAGGAGATCAAATTCAGGTTCTTAATGATGTTTGGTTGCTGGATAGATGCTTAAATGAGTGGCATACTTTTATTGATTGTGGTGCTTTAGAGAATTTGAAAGTTCAACAGCTTATTTCAGATACAGGACAGTGGGATGAAGGTAAACTACTCAATTGGTTCCATGAAGATCTAGCAAGTCTTATCAGGAATGTGAAACCAGATGTCCAGTGGGAAGATCAATTGGAGACAGTGTGTAAGTGCTCGGGTAAATCTATTTCGGCTTTAGCTTATGATAATGCCATTAAAGACAAAGGAATTAGTGATGTTGATGGTTTTTATAGTTGGCTTAAGAGCTTAAAGCTTAACTATAATGTGGATTTTTTTTGGTGGAGGCTTAGCAAATTTGCTATTCCTACAAACCACTTTTTAAAATTCCAAACACTAGCAACTGATGATCGTTGTGCTAGAGGATGTCTTGAAACGGAAAATTATGAGCATGTTATTGTTCAGTGTAAATATCTTCAAGAGGTGATTAATAAAACTCATGAATGGGGGTTTTATATTTCTTCATTTCGATATTTGGAGGGTTGTTTTGAAGAGCTGAAAAGGATTTCTGGTACGAATTCTGGTATGGTAAGAGTTTACTGTGTTGCTATGTTTTTAAACTGGAAAAACCGCAATTCAGTAAAACTTGGTAAGGCAGCTTTGCCAAGTTCCTCAGTGGCTGCAAATGTGCTCTCTCTTGCTGTTTTGAAGTCTTCTCCTTATCTAGTTAGCTGGGGTGCTAATCTCCCAAGGGAGTTATTTTCTACTTGGCGCTTCCACCACTAGATTGGATCAAGATAAATGTGGATGCATCTTTGTTGAGCTCAAATAGAGGTGGAATCGGTGGTATCTTTAGAGACCATAAAGGTAGACTTCTTCTTGTTTTTGAGAGGAATAAGATTCATTGGGATATTGCCCAACTGGAGATGGAGGTTATTGTCAATATTATAGATTTCATACAAAGTTGGATGCTTGAGAGCAAAGGCATTATCATTGAAAGTGATAATACTAATGTGATTACATTCTTACAAAATTCTTTGAAGAAAGTTGATTGGGAATTGGATAAGTGGCCGGTCAAGGACTTTTTCTTCTTGAAGGACTTTAACAAGGTTGTTTTTCATCATGTTAATATGAATTGTAATAAAGTAGCTGATTTTTGTGCAACTTTAGCTATTGATGGTACTTTTGTTTTTAATAGTATTTCTTTTGATAGAATTCTGAATCCTTTGATTGATATGATCAAGGATGAGATGCTATCAATTTAGCTTGTATCTAAATTTGTTGCTTTCCTTTCTCTTTTAATACCATTGCTCTTGCACTGTTTAAAAAAAAATCATGATTCTTGAGTTGCAACACTTTTCCTTTTTTTTTTATTTCTTCTATTTCAGTAAGTTCAAAATTTCTAGAGAAGATACTTTAATTATTGAAGAGATAGTATGAAGCATCTTTGTATGTACCAACTTCATGAATTGAAAATGGTTTTAAATTACCTTTAATAAAGTGTTAGAGAGTATTTAATACATTGATAAAGGGTAGAAAGCACCATTCTATATTAATGGAGTCAGTGTCTACAAAAGAGAGGTTTAAAAAAAGCCTTAAAAAATATAATATGAAATTTTTCTTCAATTTTCAAGGTTTTTAATTCTAGGAGATGTGTTATTGAAATTGAAGCTCTATCACCTTTTTCATTGAATTCTTGCAAAATTATCTTGTTAGAAATAATTTTGCGAGTATCAACTTTTAAGTATGTAAGAGCTCTAAGAGTCATGATATTAATCGATGCACCTAGATCAATAAGGACATGAGATAATTTTAAATTGTTTACATTCATGAAAAAAGTATAACGGATGATTATGATTCATAATTCCCAAAGAAAAATCTTCATAAAAATGTGATTCTTGGAACTTTCATTAAATATAACACTTCTTCTTACTATGTTGATGATATATAAGCCATACAAATGTTTAGGTTGAGAAAAGCTTTTATTAAAGCCTCCTTATTTCTTTAGAGAGAACTAGAACTTCATAAATACCTAGTTTCTTGAGCAGCTTTTTGAGATATGCTAAGACATTATAATCCACTTTTAGAACTTTTCGGATTTAGTACACTTAAATCTTTAACTAGTAGAGGTTGATTTAAAATTTCTTTATTAGTTGTAATATACTTTCCTTTATTGGCAGCTAAAGTTCATGGAGGTAGAGCCATACCATTATGAAGGTTTACTTTAACTACCCCATTAGGAGAAGAAATATCAGATTGGTAAGCTTCTTGATCATTGATTATATTTTGATTTTTACTCTGACAAATAGTTTTAATCAGATATCTCTAATTTGATATTGATAGAATCACCTAAAAGTCATAAATTGGGGAATAATTTTTAGATAGAGTTTGTAGAAACTCTTTATATTCATTTAATTTCATTAATATTTCCTAAGAGTTATTTTCTTCACCATTTGAGTTCTTATTTAGATATTCATCAGTACAAATAAATGAGATATATGTAGAATCCATTTTCATTGACTTCTCATTCATGCAAGACAAAATAAAAGTCAAACAATATTAAAGTTTTGAGGCTTTTATTCTCCCTGTTTATAGAAACAACAATTTTATTACATATGACTTTAGTTTACTCCTAACTTCCTCATTTTATTCTGTATAAGCTAGAGTAAGTTACACTTCCTTAAGCTTTCTATTTGAAAATTTATTATGTTTTTCCTCATCAAGAACTACAAGATCAACCTGGATGGGACTCTGTGCTCCTAGGTGAATCTTCGATAAAGGATGTTAACCCTCGGTGAACTATCTCTAGACACACAAAGTGGAGTGGGGGTGGGGGTGGGGTGAATCAGTTGTTTTTAAAAACCTTTAAATACAAATAATTTTTTTTGGATTTTTTTAAATAACTTGAAATAAATTATATTATTATAGATGTAGAATCAAATTAACAACATAAAAACTTATAACTATGGTGATGATGAATTAGTCAATATATCATCAAACATCTAATTTTTTGACATGAAATTTTTAGAAAATTAAAATGCTAAAAAGTAAATTGAAGTAAAACACAGAATAAAAATGACAAAATTTTATAATGGTTCAATCAAACAATGACCTACATCCACTCCCTGAAGTACTCTCAAATAATTTTAGTGTTTCTCCCTTAGCCCCCACAACTAGGCAGAGAAAACCTTATAATCTTTTCACCAACCTGGTGTGGTAGAGAACCTTGACCTTTTTTTCACCCTCTTGATGATGGTAGAGAACCTCACACTCCTTTTTCACCCTCCTGGTGAAGACATCGTACCTAGCACTCCTTTACACCCCCTGTTGAAGACAGAGAACCTTAATGGTCTTCAGACTGATGATCTTCTTCCTAGAGCAACCCAAGAAATCAAGAAAGATACTCACAGGAAATAAGGCAGAAGCTTGCTCACAGAATCCATTCAAAAACCCCTCACACTCCTCCCTTACTTACATACTCTTCTTTCTCCTTCCCAAAGCTCTCCATGATCTTTTATTAAAGATCTGTCTCAAGAAAACCCAATAATACCCAAAGAACTAAAATAAGTCTATTAAGTGAGCTTAAATACAAGGCTTCACAAAAAGCCCTAATAAATTAATTAGGTTGACATTGATTATAAAATATAATCATAGATCATCTAGTATGATTAGTTTAAGTTGCTCTATTAGTACTATATTAAGAATAAGGTGCTATACAATCAGTTCAAGTATTTGAGTTGATTTTCATGTACGATATGAAACATCAACTCTTAGTAATAGTGAAATTGAATTAGATTATCATCCTGTGCGATTGGTGGTGAATAAATATTATCCCACGTAAAGATCGATTCATTCAGTATGATTTGTCTAATCTTATAGTACAATGTAACTAGATTAATTAATCCAAATTTTATCTTATAATTACAAGATCAATTTTGGCATTATTTGGCTATATCATATAGTACTATGCGTATTGTATAGTATGATTAGTTCAAATTTTGAATTTTGAAATATTGCCTAAATTATGATTAGCAACTAAAATCTTGGTCAAAACTAATCATCCTGTATGATCTGGATCATGTAATACAATGAGTTTAAATAGATTTAGTTATGCTAATTAGTTGTTATAATGATTTTTTGAATAGCTGATTGTATAGTATGATATCAACCGTATAATATGATTAGTTCAAAAGAATTTTACTTCTACTTTTTTCACTATCTGACTCTCCTAAGTGTGTGTGTGTGTGTATACGGTCACAGAGTTTAACATCCCCCAAATACATTACTTTGACTCAAGAAATGTTAAAATAAATAAAAGTAAAAAAATACAAACTCTTAAAGACACTTAACCCTATTCTACCCTATCATTAATTGATCACTTTGCATAATTTACAATGGAACTAAAATTTTAGTACATAAGAATACATATGAAATATTAATAGTAATAGGAGATGACATATTAGATAACCCAACAATATTTGTTATCATCAAAATCATAAGACATGGGTCCAGATTTTGTATTTTTAGAAATATGTCTAAAATACTTTACTAAGTGACTTTTTTAAATAATGGGATAATGCATCATCCGACCTGCCATCAAGTATTATTTATAAATGTCTCACCAATCACATGTATAGTGAATACCTATTTTTGAATGGGCTACATTTATTGGGTATCAAAATTGTCCCATTTTTAAAAATTTTGCTGAGTTGTTCCTTGAAAGTTACACAATATTTCAATTTAAGATTGAACATCAGGTGATAGTGGCAATATTTGCACAACGTTGATTTTCCAACTTTGTTTGGCTTCCTTAGATCTGGAAGTTTAAACACATACATTTAAAAAGAGTTTTAAAGATTTTTTTATTTTCTTCCTTTTTGAATGGATATGTTTTACATTTCAGTAATTCAAATCTTTCCCTTTTCTCTTCTAGAGTGAGATATGACTGAGATATAAATTGTTGATCATTCTGTGGTCTTTTGAACTGCTGATACCTAGTAGGATGACTTGGATTTTAGACCTATATCTATATCAACTGCTTTCCCAAATAAATTATAAATACTAGTCCTGATTTTTTTTCTAGTATAGTATTAGGCTTCATCTTTAGCTACTATTTCTAGTACATTATATGGATTTTTCTTTACATTTAGTATTTAGTTTTTTCTTTTTACAAATATGAATGAGTATCCACCATATTGATACTCCTAAAATTTTCTTCAGCTTCTAAATTTATTTTTTCCTTCTCTAAATCTTCATGTTCACTTATCTATCTATTACTCCCCTTTAAATGAACCATCATTTCTTCAATTAATCTTCCTTCTATATTATGTGAGTTGACTGGAGTATATTCTATAATAGATGAGGATTCATCTACAGCTTTACCTTTTCTTTTCTTTCATTTACTACTCTATTTTTATGAGTGATGAGTGTAGTCAAAGCGGTTTCCATTTTAGGCTACCAAAACTTCATCTTATTTAATAATGAGGTTGGCTGATTTGTTAATTTTATCCTCCCATCAAAACAGGAAGATTACTCACTACCATATATATGATGTCAATCAACTCTTGGTGAATGATGACCAAAATAGCGACCAAAAGTTCTACTTGTAAAATTTCTTGAGTGATTAAAAGATAGAGGAGATACATAATTATACCCTCATCAGGCTACTATACATATTTTGGTATTAGTTACTAAACTTCCAGAATTAAAATTAAATATTGAATTAGGAGAATATACTAAATTGAATCTATTAACTCCCCAAAGCAAGTTTTAAATTATTGGCGATG